TACACGGCACCAATCAATATATTATTTATAGACAGATATATAAACTCATGCTCTCCTTAGCAATATTGTGCAGCCTCTTTGCCTTTTATGTAACAAAGACTCATCTGAATGGCTAATACAGAAAAATTATCTTTGAAGCTCTTAAACTTTTATCATTTTTAATGCAGTATATGAAATTATTGAAGAGGTCAGTTTTTAAAAAGGAAGTTAAAAGTCTGAAAATTCCCCATTTTGCTGTTATGATTATTCCTGAGTACTGTCCTAGTCTTCTATTGATGTCAGAAACACTGATACTCAGGAAGTACTAGGAAGGGCTAGTATGCTGTAATGTTATTTGCTTAATTATTGAAGTAAGGTTTTACCCTATTAGAGAAACTCCAGAGATTGCTCATGGGTGATAATCCATCAAATTTCTTAGAGCTTATAATTTGGGTTTAGGACAGCCTACGCTTGATCTAATGATTTCAGTGAGTTCACTGATGCTTTCCAAAGGACATCATGAAATGATGTCGGAACTGTCTTTTCTTGTGGTTTAATGACCTCATCAGTACATTTTTACTGGACACTATTACATTATTCTGTGTTAAGCTAATGGGAGATCAGACATGATCAATTTCCTTGGAGAATTTATCATCCAACTAAAGACTGACTGTCATTGGCAAATACATTCCCAATGAACAAGTGAGTAGGGAAGTGCTGAATGAGATATAATGTGGAATTTTAAAGGAGCAGGAGGAGTGTGTGTATAGGAGTAATTAGAGAAAGTGCGCACATATGATTTGTTATCTGAACTGGGTCATGAAGGATAAGCACAATTTAGTCACATAGAAAGGAGTTTGCCAAGAGAATGGAACAAGTCACTTACAGGCAATAATGTATATGGGTCTCCCAGGACTTTGGCCAGACCAGAGCAATGGATATGAAACAATGAGTAATATACAAAGTTAGCTATTAGATTTGATCTGGTGGGGGAGAGGGGAATAAAATGATTGTAAGTTTTTGTGTAAGAGAATGGTAAGATGAGCATGGTTATTCAGGCAGTGGTTATTAGAGTTGATTGGAATAGAAAGGATGTCAAATACATCAGAGGAACAGTGCAGTCACGTAATGAGATGATGAGGGCTGAACCAAGAAGGTGGCTGTGGGCTGGAGAGAAAGGGGTGGACAGGAGAAGTGTTTTAAAGGGAAAATGAGCAGGACTTTTCCACTGACCAGATTTGAAGGTTATACAAGAAATGTATTGTCACACATGATTCAAGATTTCCAACCTGTGTCTGAGTGGTCCAAAGTATCTAGAAACTATTTTCAGAAACAAAAAAAGTTAGCAAGTTACATTGTTCTGACAAAAAGTATGGGTTTGTTATCAGGTGTACCTGACTTCAAGGCTTATGAGTAAGCCGTTAGCATTGAAGAAGTGTCACTCATGGGGACCTGGAGATGGACTTTTTCACCAGGCGGTTAACTACTCAACCTATGCAGATGTTCTGCTTTGAGGCATGCCTGTGTTACAAGGCTTCAGGATGAAAACCAAGTAAAATTTATTCAGACTCTATTTGTCCCTCTGAAGATTTGATTGTGGAACTAATAAAAAAAATATATATATATATAAAGAATTAACCACTTTTCAACCCAAAAAAAGTCAATAGAAAGATAAATGAGATGAATGAAAGGCAGGATAAACTTCTTTAAGGATGGTATAAAAATAAAAAGGTATCATTAAAAGATTTATTATCAAAAATAACATTAAGAAAAGACTTGTTACTATGTTAGTAATAATAAAACAATTTTTTCAAATCTGTAGTTAAGATGCCTCAATACTTTGGGCCATTTAAGCAGTTAGTGTGGACACTTAGTAAATATTTATTAAAATTATTCTGCTACCATCAACAAATCAACAAATGACAAGTGCTGGTTATGATGTGGAGAAAAGCGAACGCTAGTACACTGTTGGTGGGAATGCAGACTGGTACAGCCGTTATGGAAAACAATATGGAATTTCCTCAAAAAATTAAATATGGAACTTCCATTTGACCCAGTGCTTCCACTTCTAGGCTTATATCCTAAGAAACCGAAAACATCAATCATAAAGAATGTATGCACCCCTATTTTCATAGCAGTGCAATTTACAATAGCTAAGATCTGGAAACAACCCAAGTGCCCATCTGTAGATGAGTGGATAAAAAAGCTGTGGTACATTTATGCCATGGAATACTATGCAGCAGTAAAAAAGAAGTATCTCTTACCCTTTGAGACAGCAAAAGAGTAACTTGGAGAGTATTGTGCTAAGTGAAATAAGCCAGACAGAGAAAGACAAGTATAACATGATCTCATATGTGGAATCTAATGAACAAAATAAACTGATGATCAAAATAGATCCAGAGACATGGAAGCATGGAACAGACTGAGGAACCTCAGAGGGAAAGCTGGGATGGGTAGGTGGGTGGGGAGAAATCAACCAAAGAACTTGTATGCATATATGCATAACCCATGGACATAGACAATAAGGTGTGGGGAGGGCTAGAAGGGGCCAGTGAGGGGAAAAGAGGAACATATGTAATAGTTTCAACAATAAAGATTTAAAAAAAAAAGAGAGAGAGAAAGAAACTCTGCTTTGTTCACTCTAAGATGCACTTTTTCTTTAGCCTCTCTGAATTTGGGTAGTGTCTTACAGCTGATACCATTTTACTGTTCTTGTTGGCTATGCAGCAGTCACAATATAGTTGCCATTGCCTTAGCCAAATTATTTTATTTAATTTTATGACATATACCAGCATACAAAAATTACATATGATAAATGTATCCAAATAAGAGTAAAATAACTCTTTTGAGTAAGTATACAATAACAGTTCTAAGTGATATAGTAAACGGCAGTTTAATTGGCTGCCTTTTTAATTTCTCAGTGGTACATAAAATAGTATATTTTACAATGATAATATCTTAGATTTAAGGAAATATACTATTAAAAGAGAGCTGATCACAGCAAATCTCTACCATTGTGCTGGAGATGGCTGGAGTAAAATATTCTAAATTTGCTTCCTTTCATCGGCCTACATTAGAGGTGTCCCTTGGGTTCTTTTCATTCGGCCTGGGAACATTAGGAGAAAGGATTTTCATTCAGTGGTGTAAGTACCGCCTGCCAGGAATAGAAACCTCCTCAGAGGATCCATTTCTTTGATGGTACAGAACCCAGAACATTCACAAAAGTCCAGGTATTAGCAGAATGGACATCTGTGCATGACTCAAACCCGTGCACCCTTCCTAACCTCAGACCATTGTGCACTGCAAGCAGTGCTGAGCAGGCTTGCCCTTCCTGCGAAAGGAGAATGAACCTACGAGGAAGTTTGTCGGTGTTTGGGGATGAGAATAAAGTCTGTTGGTGGTACATGTGACCTCTTGTAAAAGTAGAGAACAGAAACATTTGGTTCTCAAGACCGGAATTTTCAGCCATATTGACGAAGCAGGTTGCCTTCCTATTCAGGGACACTTCATGGACAGGAAAATGGTCCCCTTTGCCTACCGATTGGCACATGTGTGTTTTCTTGTAAGTCCAAGGTCCAGAACTGAGTGTAGTTAGAATATCTGGCTTCTCTTACTGCTGAGGGACCCGATGCTTCAGGTAAGTAAGTGGCTCTGAAGTCCTTTGGCATCTGACGATCGATCACCTTGGGTTAGTCTGTAGGTATGTTTCATTTTGCTTGTTCGTCCATTCTAATTGGCCTCCCAGAGCATGCGTGTAGAAGGAGAGCCAAACTTAGAGGATAGCAACCCTCTGGCAAACAGGAAAAGATTAATTTTGTGGTGTGCTGTTAAGGGACTTCCCAGGAAACTTCAAAAGCACAGAAAGAAGCACTGGCTGCCTATTCCAAAAACGTGCAAAATGCCACTCAGCTCTTCAAAGGTATGATTAAATTCAGGGTGTGTGCGCTCACACACACACACACATACACACATACACACATACACACACACACACACACAGAACCCTGTATATGAGCCTGAGAAACCCAGGGGTGAGGAGCTCCAGGAGTTCTGAGAATCCATGTGGAGACGCACATGGGAGGCATCTGAATGGACGTCGGTGCCTTTTCCAGTTTTCTCTTAAGCAGACACTCTGTTTTCATGATATCAGCCTCAGGCATAGACACATCATTAAAATCAATGTGTAGAAAATGATTTCTGTTTGGAAACAAGCAAAACATTTTCAGTTCTGACCACCCAGGTGCAGTAGGAAAACCCTGGAGCTGGGGCTGGGGGCCCACATTCTCCTGGAATCTTTATTCCTGACATGAGGCCAGTCCTCTGTGGCCTTCGGTCTCCTTATCTGTCAGAGAGGATGCGGGATCTTCTTTGTTGTAATAGATGGTTATGGGAGAAAAAAACACACCATGAAAAGCCCTCTTATGACATCCTAGCTTCCGTTTTATTGTGCTATTCATGCCTCATTATCACATAGCAACGAAGGGCCACTCAGACCCCCCAGGCCACACACCCCTGCAAGGACCCTGTTGCTAACTTGGGGGGGAAATTACTATCACACTTACAGTTGTTGCTTAGTAACATTTCTGATGTCGTGTTCCTTGTGACAGCCTGAGCAGAGGTCATTAAAAATTTAACTTACAAAGCTTCTAAAGTGAGAGGAAGAAGGTGGAAAGCTTGAAGCCACCATCTTTTTCACTTGCTTGGACGCCACCTAATCACAGGGTTATATGCTAAACCTCAGAGAAAACACTGCACGCCTCTGGTTTATATATTCAACCACATACAGCACCCTACTGACATTAACTTGTGTCTGGTGCAGCTGGAGTTTATCACCGATCCATAAACACACACACACACACACACACGCACACACACACACACACACACACACACACACACACACACACAGCCTTGACCCTGCAGAAAGGCCTGGAATGGCAATCAAACGGGCTGCATCGCATCCCTCTGCCAAAAGAAAGCCCTAACCTCTTTTCCGCCCTGTTTCTGCTTTCTCCCCACAGTTCCACCAGGTGAGAAGAGTGATGACCATCCTTTTCCTTACTATGGTTATTTCATACTTCGGTTGCATGAAGGCTGCCCCCATGAAGGAAGCGAACGTCCGAGGACAAGGCAGCTTGGCCTACCCAGGTGCGCGGACCCATGGGGCTCTGGACAGCGTGAACGGGCCCAAGGCCAGCTCCCGGGGCCTCCCGTCGTCGTTGGCTGACACCTTCGAGCACGTGATCGAAGAGCTGCTGGACGAGGACCCGAAGGCCCGGCCCCAGGAAGAGAACAGTAAGGACGCGGACTTGTACACGTCCAGGGTGATGCTTAGCAGTCAAGTGCCTTTGGAGCCGCCTCTTCTCTTTCTGCTCGAGGAGTACAAAAATTACCTGGATGCTGCAAACATGTCCATGCGGGTCCGGCGCCACTCGGACCCGGCCCGCCGCGGGGAGCTGAGCGTGTGCGACAGCATCAGCGAGTGGGTCACGGCTGCGGATAAAAAGACCGCCGTGGACATGTCGGGCGGGACGGTCACGGTCCTGGAGAAAGTCCCGGTCTCCAAAGGCCAGCTGAAGCAGTACTTCTACGAGACCAAATGCAATCCCATGGGCTACACGAAGGAGGGCTGCAGGGGCATAGACAAGAGGCACTGGAACTCCCAGTGCCGAACTACCCAGTCGTACGTGCGGGCTCTCACCATGGATAGCAAAAAGCGCATTGGCTGGCGGTTCATAAGGATAGACACTTCCTGTGTATGTACACTGACCATTAAGAGGGGAAGATAGTGGCTTTAATGTTGTATAGATTCTATGGAGACAAAAAAAAATTATCTATTTGTATATATACATAACAGGGTAAATTATTCAGTTAAGAGAAAAAAAATTAATTTTATGAACTGCATGTATAAATGAAGTTTATACAGTACAGTGGTTCTACAATCTTATTTATTGGACATGTCCATGACCAGAAGGGAAACAGTCATTTTTGCGCACAACTTTTCAAAAAGTCTGCATTACATTCCTCGATCATGTTGTGGTTTGTTGCCGTTGCCAAGAATTGAAAAACGTAAAAAAGTTTTAAAAAAAAAAGATAATAAATTGCATGCTGCTTTAATTGTGAATTGATAACAAACTGTCCTCTTTCAGAAAACAGACACAAAACAAAACAAAACACAAAGCAAAGCAAAACAAAAACCGACAACAAAAAATTTGAACCAAAACATTCCGTTTACATTTTAGACAGTAAGTATCTTCATTCTTGTTAGTACTCTGTTTTACTGCTTTTAAACTTCTGATAGCATTGGAATTAAAACAATGTCAAGGTGCTGTTGTCATCGCTTTACTGGCTTAGGGGATGGGGGATGGGAGGGGGTCTATTTTTGTTTGTTTTGTGTTTTTTTTGTTTGTTGGTTTTTGTTTTTGTTTTTAAGTTCCCACAGAGTGTAGGGATGGGGAAGGAACCCCTTCAGTCTATATTTTGATTGATAAAAGACATTTGTATGTTGATTTGCAGAATCAATCAGGTGGCTAGGAAGTGAATAAAAATTAAGGCAACTGAATGAAGTGCTCACTCCAGTTCCCACAATGCACCTCCTAGGTTCTCACTCACCCCTTGGGCCTTGGTCACAGGAAAAGCTTGTTTTCTTGCAAAGACCTACTTTGACTTAGAGCACATCCTCTCCTCCCCTCCCCTTTTGATCCCCTCTTGTTTTCTCTTAAGGAAGAAAAATCAGTTCCATGCTCTGAAATAGTTGACCACTGCTATGAATGTGTGAATAGATGTCACATTGTGGCACTCATAAGCATGGAGAACGGCGATTTCTTTCTTTCTTTTTAGATGAGAAAAAGAACAAAAATAAAAGACAAAGATTTTTTTTTTTTTAATAAGAGGCAAACAATTTGGGTAAATCATGGTAAGGCTTAAAAGAAAAATCATGGTAAGGCTTAAAAATGTCTTGCGAGCAAAAGGTGGGGTTCTGTATGGACCCAGAGATGCCTAGATCAGAGCAGGCGCCCACACTGCCGGTGAAATGAGACTGCACATTGGCCATGTGGCGGCCGTGTTGAGCTGACGTATTTCCGGGCGGTGCAGGAGGAATTTCTGAGTGGCATCCTGAGGTCTAGGTGGGGGTGGGGAATGGTACTTGAGACATTCCAAAAGGGAGGCCTCTGAAGGACCCTTCAGAAGTGGCTCTGGAATGACACGTGTTAGGTTGCTTTGGACCTCCCGCTTTAAGTGCCTACATTACCTAACTGTGCTAAGAGGTTCTCTCTGGAGGACCATGCTCAAGCAAACTTAAGGCCCTCCACCCTGGATAACTGCACTAACCTGGCGTAGCCTGGAGCAGGTTCAGAACCAAGTGCGACATTGTGATGATGAGACCTTCGCTCTGAGATACCTAGCACTGACTGCTTTGGAATTAGACTTGAGGAAACCAGGGTTTTGTCTTTTGAGAACTTTGGGGAGGGGAGCAGGAAAAGACCCCCAAACTCAGGTTGACTGATCAAGGCTACCAATAGAAAACCTTGATGTGACAAGGCTCTGGGAAGGTATCCGCACAGCTAGGACACCAAACACTTGAAGGTGCCTTGTTCGATGGAAGAGACCAGGACAGAGCTGGCAGAGTTTTGCTTCCCAGTGAGGCCACAGTCACTTCCTGCCCATCCTGTCTGTTCATGTTGAGAGTCCCTGCCTCACCTCTGCCATCGTGGGTTAGGAGAAGTCAGGTTGGGAGCCTGGTCTAGTGGTCCAGGCAAAAATGGACCCTAGTGAAAGATAGGGCTAAGCCTATTGTCCCTTTCAGCCCATTGTCCAAATTTGAGAGTGTCCTGAACCAGTGTTCTTGAGTATCAAAAGACCTCAAGGCATTGCTGGATCTTAGTAAGGTGAGGGATAAGCAAAAGGGGATATCCACCATGACCCAGGGAATGAAGATACTATCAGCAAATAATTTTCCTTTGTTAGTCTTACTTTGAGAATGAGCCTATCTTTTATAGTACCATCTGAATACCTGTCATTGGAAGAAGGAAGCATTTCTGTAGCATAGGTTTGTTTTGTACTGTTTGAAAATACTGTCTTTGTAATTATTTTGAACATATAATGAATATGTGGAATATCTGCTGTATTTGCAGCTGTTTTGAGGGGTGAAATTATTTAAACACACACACACTCACACAAAGAAATAAAGAAAAAAGTCCCCATCACAATCTCCAAGAACTCAAAGGGCAGGTCTGCTGAGTGGCTGAATAAGAGACATTCAGCAATTGTGTGGTCAGTGGCTCTCTCTTAACCAATAAATTACATCACCGTCACACGCTTGGTGGTTTCCGTTGACCTAAGATTTATTTTGTTAAGATCGTTCTCTGTTGCTGTTCATTTTTTGTTTTGTTCCGTTTTGTTTTGTTTTAAAGTCGTGCTGTGGTCTCTTTGTGGCAGAAGTGTTTCATGCATGGCAGCGGGCCTGTTGCTTTTTTTATGGTGATTCCCATTGAAAATGTAAGTAAATGTCTGTGGCCTTGTTCTCTCTATGGTAAAGATATTATTCACCATGTAAAACAAACAAAAAAAATATTTATTGTATTTTAGTATATTTATATAATTATGTTATTGAAAAAAAATTGGCATTAAAACTTAATGGCATCAGAAGCCTATTGTAAATACAAGTTCTATTTAAGTGTACTAATTAACATATAATATATGTTTTAAATATAGAATTTTTAATGTTTTTAAATATATTTTCAAAGTACATAAAATCTGGGGGCTCTGGGTTTTTTTCTCTTCACTATAAAACTAAACATGAAAACGTGTTTTATTATAAATACGTGTGTTCCTTGCTTTAAGACCAACCTGACTGGTTTTAGCAGTTGCACAAGCCCTCCAGAGAGGATGCTGACTTCAAAGCACGGGAGGCCAATCCTGCAGCCTGAGCTTCCAAGAAGCTCGAGGATTGGGCCTGCCTTCCACAGTGGAAGGCGGGAGTGTCATTTTCTAGGACACTTGAAAACCTTCCCCTTTGAAGTGATATACTTTCATCAAGTATCAAACTATGTATCCTAGCAACATCAGGATCCAGGGCTGGCTGGCTCTATTTGATTATAAAATAACTGTTAAAAAAAAAAATCAAAGTAGGTTTACTTAGGGATAATGAGACTAAATTGGCCCAAATTTAGAAAGTCAATGACTGGGGGGGAAAAAAATAAAATTCAATATTTAGAGGCGGGTCATGTACCCTCGGTTTGGAGACGGTGCCATTTGCATTATGCATTTGTATCCGTTGCACTGATTTAATTTTTGTGCATGGAGCCACACAGATTTTATGTCACAGTACCCACGATCTAACAGATTGCTAGGATTTCTAAAAAGATTTGCCTCTGTGATGGCTGCCAAGCCGCTGGGTAATTTAGTTAAAGTGTTTAAAGTTATCACTAAATCTTAGGGAAATAAATGGAAGGGTTTTAAATGAGAGAAAGAGCCATTAAGGAAAAAAAGCATCTGTTCCTACTCTTCCAACTCTCCATTTGAACAGTCAACCCATCCCTGAACGTGGTGAACTATATCTGCGCAATGTATCATTTCTATTTCAAACACACACATATGGTTTCCTCTTGTATTGTCTTATAAATAAGGATCAAGAAAGTCATAACAAACATTGACTTGTGTTATGTAGATGGAGGAGCAGATCGAATGAGATGAATTAATCCTAATCTGACCAGTAAATTTGCAAAGTACTCCAAACACTAAGAGCAATCCTCCACTGCCAACCAAAGCCTGAACCAGGCCGTGGAATTAGAACTCTAGTAAACTTCAGGCTTAAACAGTTTTCATCGTCAAGGAAGACTGAAAAATTGTTGAAAGAGTAAAAAAAAAGAAATGACAATAAAATGTGTATTACTTGCAGTGAAAGGAATTTGGTAAACATAATGAAGTTTTCATTAAAAGATGAGGTTAAAGAAAGAAACAAAAATAGAGGCATCTACTAAATCAACCAACTTCAAGTTAGTGGGAGTAGCTAACTTGTACTCCATTCCCTGGTACAAGCAGTTAAACCTGTTTAATCAATAAGATGCCTGGAAATAACCCAGACCATTGCTTTGACCTATTGTTTCTTGGTAAGCCTCTGTGGTCGTTAGCGGTGTCTATGGAGTTTTCTTTTTATTAGCTGTACTAACTCTATGACTACTATCACAGTTCTGAGTGAGAATGGGAACTACATTTTAGAACAGATCAGTGTGAAATTATCCCTATTCATTTGGTGGTTACTAGACTCTAGGTAAAATGTCAAACACCATAGGCCTGGTAACCAAAGGCTTCAGATCTGGCCTTAGTTCAGCCAGCATGCTTGCTTATGCCCAAAGTAAGACATATGTTTTCCTCCATATTCTCACATTAGCCTATTCTGTAAGTCAATGGAAATAGCTGCATTTTGACAAGCCATTGTTAAGTAAAGAGTGTTAATAATTGGGATAAGAAACAATATATCTACATAAAGGTAGGTGAAGTATTTAACCTAGAAAGAGTAATCATATATGGATTTGATCAAACTTCAAAATGTTGACCAGCAAAATGAGTGATGGAATCTGGGCTTTTTCTTTTTTTTAAGCTGTGGGTGTGTTTTGTTTGTTTGTTTTTTTAACTTGTTTTAAAGGCTGTTGGTTGATTGGCTAGTTTAGGGGGAGGAAGAGGTGAGAGTCTTAACTCTTGTCTACATCACTGGTGGTTGGTTCTGGGAGTCCCCACCTAAGAGCCAGTTCAGTGACTGGAGTAGGTGTAGCCACTCCGAAGCAACTGGTGTTTATGTCCATCCCACCGAATGAATGAGCCACCTGCTCATCTGTCCCAGATACCTACCCCAAGTATCTCTGTCTGTTTCCTCAATTCTAGTGACCCTTTTAATTAAAGACAACCTCCTTGCTTTTTGATATGTGAATAGATGCCTGAGGAATATGTTTAAATAGTAACAAAAATATTGTGATTTTACATATATTCCTCATTAAAAAAAAAGAAAACAACCATTTATGTGATACTCTAGGATTTCCATAGGCCTTTACCTGAAGCCCTTTAATGATTTACTAAGTATAAAACACTAGATCAGGACTTCCCTGACCTGGTATTTGCTTGTCTGAGTAACAATCCTATATGCTTGCTAATGTCAAGAGCATGGAACTGTAAAAGCTGGTCTTCCAATTAGCTAAATCTACTCCCCTCCCCACACCCTACCCTCCTTACCCCTACACATGCTAAACAGGACTTTTGCATTCATTACATATTTTAGTATAGGTTGCTATTTTTTTACATCTGTAAAAGCAAAAGGACTTTTCCTTTGGAA